CAGACGGGAACATTGTTTCAGTCTCGGGAACTTCCAGAAGTGATTTTGTTCTTTCATACTATTGGAAAATCTTAAAAACCGGGGTTATCTCGTTCTCTTTTTATAAGAATCCTATTTGTTTACACGATATAATGATTTGGAGCGATATTCTCTCTTGTAGGATTCCGAGGTCGTGCTCAGAGGCACCCACGGATATGACGTTTAGAACACTCCTTATAGATGATGTTTCAAAACGTCTAAATAAGGAATTATTATCGATCCTTTGCCACTCTGGAGAATTATTATTTCGCTATTTTTATTTGTGAAATCTATTACACACTGTGCGTGTCCTGTTTGGGTTAAAATACTGTCATTTCAAGCCATTTTGATGGCTCACTTGTTGCTGCCTGCGACATATGCGCCCGAACAAATGGTTCACATTGAACAGCTGAGCATATACCGGCTCAAGTATTTAGCAAGTTAGTGGGATAAATGAATTGATTGAGCATTAAGGCGAGTTAATGCATACTTTAGGCCAATTGAGGCTGTTCGTGCCCCGGGGAACATTTGATAGGTCCATTGATTAAAGACTTGAAAACAGAAACTGTTGATAGCCTGTTTTAAGCGATTAATTGACATGTAGTAACGGACATAATAATTCGATGGCGATTATTTGTATTCGCGTAGCTTCTGCGATATTTTATTAAAACAGCATGATTTTCAATGGCACACGGCACACCCATGAGATAACTTATTCCATGACGTCTTTCTTTCGTGTGTATAGTTTTCAAATTATAAGAGGAAAAAATGTCATCAAAATCTCGAACATTGGGGGATCTGTGTACTTTACTGATGGGTTACCGCAAATTGCAGGACGTGCTATCGTCTCATCGAATCTCTCACGAGAGCTAAAGACAATTAAGAAAAAAATGATATCAGTATGAGAGGTTAATAATGGGTTAGGAATCCGTTATCAACGTCGTTGCAGATCCCACGAATTCTAACTCATAATTAAAATCGCTTTCTCATTAAATGTCAATTAATTTTTTTCTTCATTTAAATGATAATTAATTAGTTAATTTCCTGAACAGGCAATTTTTTTTAACTTGGCCACGGAAAGCGATCCATAGTTGTTTGGTAATTTACAGTCTCCTTAAATAAGAGAAGGACGGGACTATTTTTATGTCAATTAATCAACAACTGACATTTGTTTCCCTATATCACTGATCGTATTTTGAAATAATAACGCTAGATTTGCATAATTTTTCCGTCTACTGAGCAAAACACTGCATTCAGAAATGCTGAGCACGTTACCGACACAAAATGAACGTGCAGCCTTTACACGACTTTGACGACACCCGACCAAGCTCATGCTTATTTAATATAGATTTTTAGAAAATAATTAAAAGATGATCTCATTTGTTACCAAGATCTATATTCAACAAAGAAATGATTATATACTCCATCAATCTTCATATGTTTATGTTGGGACTAAAACCGATCTCTATATTGAAATCAAATTTGACACGTCTTTGAAAGCTGATTATCATTATAAGGTCCATAACATACACCGTTGATAACTGAAATGCAAAAAAAATCCTTTATTTTTCTCAGAGAAAAAAGAATGTTCATGAATTTATTTACAAAACTATAACCTTTCGATATTAACAATAATAACAAAAAATCTAGAAATAAATTAACAATAAAGCTTAGTTTTAGTAGTCCTACCCAATCTCCCACGACTGTTTCTTGTTTCAATAATCGTCAATAAACTTTATTTGTTTTCACAACCGACAGCTTAGCTTCGTGTTTCATCTCGTAAAGTCAGGGACAGTGACAAATTAAGGGTATCCGAAAGGGGGATGGAACATAAAACCTTGAGTTTTTTTATGTATGCATGCTCGAGTCTTCTCATACTATTACTAGAGTGAAATTGTTTTTCGTCTCAGTTAATGGTAATGGATTATAATGCAACAATCATATTTATGTGTTTTTATTTAGCCATTTTCACGGACTTTTAAATCTCTAAATTTTCATTTGGTTCTGTAATTATTTTCTCTGAGTCAGATTGTTTAAAAATATTATTTATTTTAAATTATTGCGATATTCTTGAATGGTTTTGATATATTTTTGGGATATCTAATTTCCCTTCCTTTCTGATGGGGTATGAGAACAAATCTCCTGTGATCAATCAGGCCTGAATGATCTGATGTTAAGACAAAAAGAGAAAGTAAGGTGTCCGTTTGATTAATGTATGTCTTTAGGGGGCGCACTGTTTATGTTGAAAACATTATTGTTGTTCTGAGCAAATCTACCTTGTAAAGAATACCGACTTGTCAGTGCATTAAAGACAGAACAGATCGGTATGTCTATATATTTAGAACAATGGCAAACAATAAGCTTTTTCCATTTATTTACTATGTTATTTTATGTAATAATTGTAAACTTCGCGAGAAACTACGTTTATTCACTGTGTTAATGCATGGAATAATTGTAAACTTCGCGAGCAACTCTTTCATACAAATATAATATCCACGTGTGGACCAATAATGAAAGAAAAATTAATTAACTTGATGTATATTGTGATATTTGAATATCCGGGTCATAGGTACAGAGCTAATGATAAGGAAAACTGCAAAAGTGTTATGGAATTACGCTATCTATCCGGTTTATTTGAATGAAATATTAACACATTTCGCCGTTTTGTTGACATTTTTATTTGTATCAAGATATGGTTACATGTATAACGGATATACCTGGTAATTTTTACCCCAAAGGACATATACGTATGACAAGATATATAAACATCCCTTTCTGAGGTTCCGGGTTGTAAGCATAAATCTTTCTCCCCCTGTGACATAGTTCCGTTCAATTCCTTTATCATATTTCATTTGGAATAAATTAAATGAATTAAAATCAGCCTGATGGACTGTCGATTTGAAGGCTATTTAAGTCAAGCACGCTGTATTTTAAACTAAAATACATACATGTATATGTGTCCTCTATAAATATTATCTTTTGATGTTATGGGTAAAAGATATGTATACTTTTATTTACCAGCTATAATGGGGAATGTCCTTGAGGCTTAAGTTGCAAATCAGATAAAATTCGCTCTCACTGCAAGGACACTCAACGACTAAATAATGAGTACAAGCAATCATCCAAATTTAGTAATCTGTATACAATTACACAAATAAATCTCAGGCTTATTAAGGAGTTTGATAACTATCAGCTCACCATTTCCTTCCTTCGTCGAGAGCGGCGATTTCAGTAGAAGCAGTTGCCACGTGTAACCTGCTTAACCAACTGAAAGCTTTATACGTTCATTCATAAAAAGAGAAAGATGGATTTAGACGAAGTGATGAATGTGATATGTAATATCGTGTATATTAAATTTTTCTTCTTTTTTATTTTCTCGGAATCAACCACGAACATTTAGCCTGAAATTGGAGCACAATTTCTCCAAATTTAGATTCAGGGCCAACGAGGAACAGAGTGGAGCAAATATTGGAGTCTGGACAAATTATATAAAATTATCAATTGCATAGCCTTATTCACTCGTGTCACGGTATAGGAACAAAATTACTTAGATCTTCACACCTGCCGTTTGCTGCTTCAGGCCACCAATACATTTATCATCAATTGTCCGTACTGCAGTTTATACCCGCGGCCACGATTCTACTCCAACAGCAATATCAATTTTCGAGGGTATAATCCTCTCTTTATCGCTTTTTGATCTGCTTAATTTGTTTCTAAGGCAATGTACTTATAAATAATGGGGTCTTGTGAAGGGTTTCTGAAACTTTAGATCGTATAAGGTAATCCCACGTAAGCACAAACTATTAAGAGATGTACATTAATGAATATGTATTAAATTATCAATTAAAATATCCAGCTTGCAAGTTAGTGACTGTTATAGAGGAAAAAATGATCAATGAAGCACCTAGTATGATAATAAGAGAACATTATACAAAATGCTTAGGTAGCATTTTTAAAGTAGTTGGAAAATCAACAGGTGATTAAATTCAGGTGGATTTTGTCAAAACTGGGTAATATAGATTTCGTGTCCATACTAAACAGCATTTATATATATATAGCCTTATAACTCCCAAACCGTCTTTTTATTTCATTCGGAAATTCGACACATGGGGTCCATTCTTGGAGTGAATTTGTCAAAGTTGCTTATACAATAAAATACAGTAATAGATGTTCAACTGTTTACGTCGATAACAGCTGGCGTCTAGTTTTTACCCAGCGGTATAATTGGACCCACACGACTTTCCATCAAGTTTCACCGTACGATTATGGAACAGATGAAAGTGACATATAGCCTCATTTATATACCATATTTTGAGATTTTAAATGTACTAATACTGCGTGTGTGGTTATAGATATTTACGCAGTAAATTATCAGGAATAAATTGATGACCATTCATTTAATGAATCGTCTATCTACTTTGAATAAATAAACAAGTGCTATTAACAGAGATTTACGATTGTTTTTATTCTTATATACTAGCAGTTCATCTGTCGAGTAATGAAAAAAATACTCCGGGTACAGTATTAATTCTACCTTATGAATATGATAGAGAAAAAGATACAATATACAATTTCATTCAGGCGAACTAATTACACTTGCCGTAAAATGACAGTTTGAGTACCTTTCTAATTGCTTCAGTGAAATGTATCCAGGTGATATATTTAGTATTCTATTGATCATTGACAATAAATTGTGATTTCACTTTTATGCAAACGAAGCGCAGATTTTATACCGCCCCATTGAAGCAAATCGATCAAATGCATCAAATAAAATATGCGGGCTACTCAAAACAGCAGTTTTCACTTTTTCAATGGCGATCAACGCAGATTATTAGCATATATAATTACCGTTTATAATTTCTGAATTAATGGCTGAAGGTCAAAAAAGTTTCTAAGGATAAGCAGTGACGAAGCAATTATCGTCAAAAACGTATCCCGAGACCATCGTTATTTATTAGTCTTCTTTTTTCAATATTTTACAGATTTTTCTGCTCAGCGCGTTACGTTATACCCAGGGGGTTTAACCAGAATCAACACGAGTACTGAAGTTATAGCCTAACCCAGTCACCCACTCCCTTCAAGTTATAGTATTCCGAAGCTTGGGCGAGACAACGTCATATTTTCATTGGCTACTTTGGATCGATTGATAATTACTACAAACTCTCGTATTATGTGTGTGTTATCATCAGGATATTAATTCCCTTTACGCAGCAGACGACAGCTCTAGAACAAGCAGTTGACATTAACAGAGTGAAAGGACTATTCCAAAAACGGACAACGGTTTCCTCTAGGCAGCCGCATGATTTTACAAGGAAGCAGAGCATTGGTGGTTCATAAAAGGATTATCTTCAAATAAACTGGACAATAGTTCTACTATTACACAAGCTAGTAAGTATCCTCAGAGAGAGAGAGAGAGAGAGAGAGAGAGAGAGAGAGAGAGAGAGAGAGAGAGAGAGAGAGAGAGATATTCGTTTAATATATACGTTTGTATTATTTATATCAATACACTAGTATGTTTTGTTTTTGTGTGCTATAATTTTTACTTACGATCTTTTAGATTACAATCTATCTACATAAAACTTCACTCTTTTGATATCATTTAACATTGCATCGTTGAAATGTCAAGTAGCCTTATTATGGTCAATACATTGGTTTCTTGTTAAGCATTCAGAGAAACAATTGACGACATAAATTCAAAGTGGAGAACTTTGAAACTCTGCAAAAGACGCTACCGAGAAATACCTACTCGTCTTAATCTTCAAATTAAAAACAGTAAAACGCCAGGGTTTTGAAAATTAGGTTTAATTCGCTGAGATAAGAACATTGGTGTTCATCCCGATAACATTACACACGAAGTTAACTCTAGTACAAGTTCATGTATTGTGCTGGCAGTCAACTAAAGAGATAGGACTATGATATAGGTAAATTCAGATGTTTTCATTCAGATGTAAATTATTTGCTAATGTTATTCCACTTTTTATCTTCTGTGTGTTTTATTGCTGTTGGTCATCTTTTTAACGGATATTTGAGCTACTGTCAGTTATATACATGTAATACTAACTACTTGTTTTAACGACTCTTAGTCATTATTTAATGTCATTTTATGGGATTATCTTTTAAAAATGAATAGTAGTGCTATTTGCATAATGAATTTAATGGCAATCGTCATTACAAAAAAGCAATGATTTCCTCAATTTTCGGACTATAAACTACATCTGCTGATATCAGAGAAAAATGTGTTTACAATTGATTTACCAGACAGCTGAAATGTAGCTCAGAAGAGCAAGTGCATCAATAAAAATTGACTTTACAATAAAATGAATATTTAGCAGAAATAAACCCATGATGCAGTGTTGTAAAATGGGGAAAATGATCCTCCTCCCCGTAATCGTGGACTTATGCAGGGTCTCTGGAAATGTGACAATGGCTTATCGATCCCCTCGCCACAATTACGTCGGTGACAAAAACTAGCACGCTAGTCGTCAAGAAGGACAAGCTCTCGTTAGTTTCTGTCAGTTTTTGTGACAGAACACAAATTCAAGGTTTTCTTAGCCGTTCTACGAAAAGAAAAATGTTTTAGTAACTAGTCACATACGGGGAAAGGACAATCGATTCAAATAAACACAGTTGCGGATCTGGGAGAGTTATTTTGTGTCAGGGAAATGTTAATAGTTTACAACGTTAAGGAAACGTCATTTTTAAAAAATTATTATAGGTTGATGCATCATTTGATAATTTATAATCTCCGCAACTACGCTATATGTCACATAGATAAGAGTTTGGCAGGTTCTGATTTACTGTATTACCATTTGTCATGAGAGAGAGAGAGAGAAAGAGAGAGAGAGGCAGTGTATCGGAAGTAAGGGGTCACTGATATGGACTGTTATTTTATCTCCGGTGGAATCCGTCTTTCTGCTCGAAGCTGCAGCATTCCTTGGAATCCAGGCAACTTCCTTGTAACACATGCTCCCTAATAGAAAAAAGCACATCCGAGTAAATTACCGGTTATGTCCCCTTACCCTGTCTGCACTACACAAAACATTTACTTTCAAAAGATTGCTAAATATCCATATAACAGACTGAAATGACAGAATAGGCGGAAATTCAACAAAAATCACATTCAGTCTTACATTTGTCCCTGTGGATGACTACCAATGAACATGACATATTTACAGAAATATAATTTCTTGTCATACTGTCCTCAATGACTCGGGCATCAGAAGACCACAGACAAATGTTTTAACCGGTTAAAGAAAATCGATATATTTTTTTAATTAATCATTTAATTTAACAACCATATCAGGAACTTGTCCTAGAAGAACCAAAAACGAAGAACTCCCAATAATTCATTATTGCAGAGCAATTTTTTGATTGATCGTTTGCCTCTAGTAATTCGCCGTTGTTTGATAATAAAATGTCATTTGAAATGAATGGGACACATTGTCAGATTTTACGGCCTTTATTCTGATTTCGCTATTCCTTCGTCTCTGACCTTCGTTACACCGTCCCTGTATTCTGACTTTGTCCACTTCTTGGAAAAGAATGTCAGTAATTTTATCACAAAATCCACCTTACGTAGAATGAATGCATGCATGTCGTTTTTCATCACAAAGTGAACTATGGTGCCAAAAAGAAAAGAGCTATGAGAGGCTGTGTAAAGTTGCATGTTTATCTGTAAAGTGACCTTTAAAGAGGACCATGGCAATAAAAGTCATCTAAGCTCGATCTCTGACATTTCATGCTGAAATCAAATTCATTCAAAGAAGCAGCCAGGTTTACAAAGCAACAATTTAAATACGCTAGTCTTCGTGGATCGATTAATTGGGGTAAATGAGAGAAAATTATCTCTATTTTGTGGGGGCGTCCAATGAGGTTTAAATTTAGATCGGTCCGCCTTGATTCTGATCCGTCAGTCAAAACATGGACATCTGATGTATTGTGCAAAGAAAAACAAATGTAGTTATAAAGTTTTGTAACAATTTGAATGAATGTTTAAATGGCCATAAAAGTAAACTAGGGACTGAAATCAAGGCATTATCTCTGTCGTGAGAACTCTATGCATGACGAAGGTTTTGTTCTGTCAATCAATAGTGAAACTAAATATAAACTATCCAAGACATGCACTTGATAGGAGAGTCTTCAAACATGGGGATACAGTTCTTGTAAACTTTTATTTAAAAACTTTGTAAATAAGTGACAGTGTGCAATTAATTATTCCAACGTCAGCACGACACGGAAACGAAATGATCGCCCTTCCACCTTAGTTGCGTCAGAGGTCTGTCTTTTAAAAATATCGAAATTATGATAATTTACCTGTGCGATTAACCTTTTTTGAAGTGCGGGTTATAGGTAGATCACAATTTAAATGATCTTGGTTTAAAGTTTGTAATTTACTGACGAAAGAAAAATGACAGTGTTTCCTGGTAACATTTCTCTTTCTTTGCAGGTGATGCGAGGCAAACACCACGCCATGAGTGCCAGGCTTGAAGATGACATGGTCGAAGACAGCGAGCAGACGACTGCTGAGGGATTCTGGGATTTACCCGGATTGAGAGCCACAGACTATCAAATCAGAAAAAGGGCCCGACGTGAAGGGCCAGCATCGCCTTCAGATTCGGGAACCAGTTCCACAACAGACATGACAGATGATGGCGAACAGAGAAAAATGAAAAGCCCCAAAAAGTCGTCAAAACGTCGAAAGGCTTCCAACGCTCGAGAACGAAATCTACGTCGACTTGAAAGCAACGAGCGTGAAAGACAGAGAATGCACTCCTTGAATGACGCTTTTGGCGACCTGAGAGAGGTAATACCACACATCAAATTGGACAGAAAACTCTCCAAGATTGAAACCTTAACCTTAGCCAAGAACTACATCAAAGCCTTGACAAATGTGATATGTGAAATGCGTGGCGAAAAAACTCCTTACAGCTTTGATAGCTCCTCAAAAACAAATGTGGAGGAAGAGACCGAAAGCATTTTGAGTGTGGAAACTGTAGACAGCGTGGATATCGAAGACACGAATGAGAATTCTTCCTTATACAACACTGATGCTCGGAATTTCTCGTGAAAAGGATTTTATCTCAATAAATCACCGACAGACGACCGTGCTAATGTCAATGTTTTGTATAAGTTCGTGGATTTTGGATTGCTACAAAATGAGGATATTCGACATTATCATTCTGAGCTCATTAATGAATTCCATCTTGTGTTCGCGGCGTTTATTCTGTCACGCCATATTCTAGGCACGTGGATCTTCTGCTGTTTTTTTTTTTTTTTTTTTTTTTTTTGGTAAATTATTTGCTTGAGAAATGTGGCGTCTAGTTTCCGGATTCTAATTCCATCAACCAATAGGAAAATGAATTCATTGATATTCTAATAGCATGCTAGTTTCCATGGCCAAAACCCCCGATTATTTACAACTTCCATCACGAACCCTGACATGAAGTTAAAAGTGTACACAAAAGAGAATCTCGGAAATACAGCGGACAAGAAATAATCATATGTTATTGTTTTATTTCTGGACAGTGCAATTGAAATACTCAAATTACCATTTGTATCATTATGATGAAGACAACTGCAAATAGTTATACCTAAGGGCATACATGTCTAAAAATAATTTATAAATATTTGCAAGTGTAAAATTAAGTCATGTATTAAGACAGTTTATTGTTATGACACGCATGTACAAATTTGTATGTATTTAAACGTGTAAATATCTCTAATCTGAGGACATGTGGGTCACGACTATGCCAAGGTATACTCTCACGATTATAAGAGGGTCCCCTATCACCTGTTTTATCCCTTTTACTTCACACGCGTGGCTAAGTTCTGGTGCTACTCGATACATCTTGTGCCACATTTACCGTTTGCCATCAGGGGTTTTCACCTTTTTTTTTGACAAATACATCTTATCCCAAACACCTCTAAATTGCTCTTAAAGAACGCTGCAGTAATTTGTTCGTGATGTTGATAATTATTTTTGCTTCCTTTTTAAGATTCTAAACTTCCCGTTGTAAAAAAGGTAAAACTTTTTGCTTTAAAGTTCGAATATACATGTATATTAGTTTTGACGTTACTGTTGGCCCCAAATTCTTTGGTTTTGAACAGTTTGAGTTATATACGGAGTCTAAGATCATCACCTTTCACATTTTTCATTGATTTCAGTAGAATAATTAAATGTTAAAGTAATAATCGCATTCTTTACTCAATAATGGGGAATGGCTAGTCGATATGTTATTGATTCGCCAGAGCATTTTCATTCATTTTCCGTTAGCGTAGGAAACAGCGTTCGTTCTTGTAATTATGGGTATTGCCCACGTGTTTTCACCTTCTTAATAATACTGCCTACAAAGGTAAACCTCTTTTGTGTCTGTTGCTGATAAAATATCAGTCTCTGGTGACAAATATCACTCTCACTTTTGATATCTACGGGTCACATTCACTGGGTATTGGCCATTTAAGATTCTATTATCTTGGGGTGTGGGCTTGCTTTTCCAGCTGTTTCTGGGAACCAGTTACTGCTGCAGTACAACCCTGCCAGAAGTAACCCTGTTTGGGAACGGTAAAACTAAAATCTTCTCTGAAACCTTAAAAGATCCGTTCGATTCTTGATTGTGTTCCTTTTGGTGTAAAAGGTTCTTTGGCATAGGAAATGACAGCCTCATTGCCCTCATGGCTTCCTTTTTGTTTTCTCACTAAATATTGTGGTGAAGGTTCTAAAGAGGTCCATTAATTTTGGCAGATAATTTATTTCACTCCTTTTAGATGATCTTATTTTTTATGATGTATGTAAATACTGGTCAGATATGATATATATCTATATACATGTATGTGTACATATTCATAACAATACACTCATAGCCCATATTTATTTTTGCTAAATGTACAATATATCTATATATGTATAAATATCATTGATATGCCATTTTGATGCCACCCATGGGTTATGTATTCACCCTTTTAAATCTCCTCATATGGATCATCGTTTTGTGCCTTTTTTTCTTTAATTAATTACATCCCCTGTTCTTCACATGCATGTTTGTTTATTGCGCATTTCTTTAAAACAGAAATTGCATTATTATAGGCATTATCTTAGAGAGTAAGTTTTCATTATTATTGGATATTTTTCCTTTCTATATAGTTTATAATAAGTTATCATTGAAGGAATAGGTTGGCAAAATACTATAACTTTACAGTAACAAAACCAGTTTTATATGTGAATTCTGAAAATTATCTACAATGGAATTGATTCCAGTCTCATAGAAATAAAAATTATTTCCGATATGTTTTAAGTGGAGGATCAAAGTTTTTGGGATACATATACGTATCGAGTGTCTGTGCTGTATTATACGTATTCTTTTGACTGGTTATAGTGAGCCCAATAATATATATATATATATATATATATATATATATATATATATATATATATATATATATATTGCACGTTTCACTTCCTGGCTGTAGCGTGTAATTTATACCAAACTTTTTTTCTGTAATCTTTAGCGATTCTTTAAGCCTCATTCCATTCCTTTGAAGTTTAAATATTTTTCCTTCGTAAAGTGAAAGTAATAGATGATAATGAGTATTTTTCTTTTTTACTCGTTTAATGTTTGATATCAACAGTTGTTTTATTTCATAAAATCGTACACCATAACAAACTTGTGATCAAATGAATAGTACGACTAATTAAGAATGGTATTATTATAAAGACATCAAACGAGTGATTAAGGACAAGTGCTTACGTTTTCAGTCAAGATGGTTGTGAACTAGTTGTTTATAAATAATTTTTTAATGAATGAGAGTTCAGCATTATCATGAATATCTTTATTTTTACTACCTGATCATTTTGATAAAAATCTATTTAATTTTTTAAGAAAATTATTATGAAAAACTCGATAAAAATTGTTTTTATTTTAGAAATGATCCTAAGAATTCCATTCTGATGATACAATGTAATATTATAAATAAAATGTTTAAAATGACAGTATCTGCACCTCCAGGTCATAAAAACGGTCACCTCCATACTAATGTCAAAGCATCGTTATAGCATGGAAAATCTATTCCCTGTGGGTGCACGAAAAGTGCATGGGAAATCATTTTCTTCAAGGCGCATGAAAAATCTACGTCACGAAGGTGCATGCAAGAATACATTTAGTCTTCACATACTTTAGTGGGATACATCATAACCGAATTAAATATGATTTATGTGCTTCCTCACTTCAGAATGGTTAAACTGTGTATTTTAATTGTTTATGCATACATGCTTTTGCTTTGTACATGTTTAGCTTGCATTTCCCTCTTGCATCATTTTGTTTCATGAGAATTGCAATAAAAATGTTGAATTTTTTGCAAATATCAAAGTTAGAAACCATGTTCAGCTTTCAACTTGGTAGTGTTCAGGTTTTAAGGTAAAAAAAAGTTTTGTCTCAAGTTTTAAACTATACTCCATGACATTGTTGATTTATGGGAACAATAATAATTTCTTTGCTCCTAATATATTGTGAAAAATAAAAACATTGTTATCATTACGAAAGTTTATTATTGTTTTTAACATTGAAACTTTTAAAAGTAGATTATTTATGATAGAAATTATTATATTTTATCTTATTTTGAAATAAAAATTATGATATTGTGTTATCTTATTTCTTTGTATCAAAATTGTGAAAATAAATAATAAAATATTTTTCTATGGCAACAAATGTTTTTTTATCATTCATGCACCAGTACTTTGAATTAATTTTAGTTTGAGATGTAGATCAATGTTCGCTGTATGTGCAGCTGTTCCACAATTTCTTTCCTGTACACCCATGTACAATGTTTTGCGCATTGTTTCGAATTGGATCAGGCGTATCTAATGCAGGAATACCGAACGTACGTAAAGGTGTTTTTTTTTTCATAGCCTGGGGCCCGTTATACAAAAGAACTTACAACTATGACCAGAAACTTGAGTTGATTGTGAAAACTTGCAAAATAATTTATTCTGTTAAAAATTGCATGTATGAATATATCTTTCTGAATTGTTTTAAAAAGAATAAAACAATTTTTCAAATTAATATACAAAAGAAAGTTATTCCCGAAATTACATTTTGGTCTTAGTCGTAAGTTCTTTGTAAAACGGGGCCCTGACCTTTATAATTTGCCTTGGTCTTAATTATAACCTTTTTACGTAGAGGCAAAATGCGCAAAATTAAAACTTAAATTCCAGCGAGTCTCATACATTGTCATAATCTCATATTTTCAATTGGCTCTTTAATATCTTTAGAAGCACAGACCTTTAGATCGCTTTTACAAAAAAAAACTAAGGTGTTAAAAAAATATCTTTTTTATACATCCCAATTTTTTTAAAGTCGAATTTAAGCGATCCAAAGGCCTATGGTTAGAAGTAGAAGTTACGTACTGATAATGCATATATATACCAGAAGACAGATTCGAGAGTTCAAACCCCGGGTTGAGGCGGAAGTGGGTATCCTTATAAAAGTGAATCTCCTTAAGCTCTCTCTTTCTCTCTCCATATATATATATATAGAGAGAGAGGGGGGAGATAGATTAATTTGTAGAATGTTTTCAATATAATGACGCGTGTTGGAGTTAAAGACGTAAACTATTAGTTCAAATACATGTTTTTAATCATTATAACCTTTTAAGCCGTCAATTCCATGTGATGTCTCAATACCATCATCATGCCTTTCACGTAAAACTAAAAGGCCAATCTGCGTGTATGCTTCAACGTGACATTCAACATTGTCGTTCCAAATGATACTGAAATTTTTATGCTTAAGTCATAACAACTGAGGAATAAAGGTTGAATATGTTCAACAACTAAAAAAGGTTAAAAATTGACAACAAAATATCAGGTTTCCCTTCAACAACATAACCATCTACAACATCATCTCTACTGACACAAACTAGGTTACCATGATAAAAATGACAAAATAATACCCCCGCCGCAATTTTTTTAAAGTGTCCATCCATTTTTTTTGTAAACGTGACCTTAAATTTGCCATAAAGACTAAAAGAATGACAAATCCCCTGGTCATTAGTAATTTTTCAGTGAAATATGGACATGCAATATTTCCCCATTAGACAAGTAAAGACCTGTTATGAAGGTTACACTTTTTAGACCATTGACCTTGAACTTGCCGGAATGACCTTGGGTCAAGGTCAAGACACACTCCGGTCATAAACAATTTCTGTACCAAGCTTCCATTGTTCCTCCATTATAAAGTAAAAACCCAAACAAGAATCTTATACATTTTTCTGTCAGTGACCTTGAAATTGCAGGAATGATCTAGAGTCAAGATTCTGACATCCTCTCAAATCCTAAGCAATCTCTGTACCAAGTATGAGGTTCCAGTGATTCTCCGTTACAAAGTTATAAGCCCGGAGAAGAATTTTATACTTTTTCTGCCTGTGACCTTGAAGTTGCCAGAATGACCTATCAAGACACACCCTTAAACCATAGGCAATCTCTGTACCAAGTATAAGCTTCATGTGATTCCCCATTACAAACTTAAACCCTGGACAAGATTGCACGGACAGATGGTCGACAGGTAATGTTTACTTCTCCATGGCACCTGATCCCGCCTCTGATGTTTTTAGAGGTCCGTCTTTGCTTTGCTCTCTATTTATTGGTGTATTATTCCAACAGACTTTTTAGCTTGATTACTGTTCGTAATCTTCATATTTCATGTAACATAACGTGTTATATTATGATACAAACACACAGCCATTTGAATGCTGAAAAAAAACAAAAAAACCCAATCAAACAACAGCTGTGAACAGGAAATACTAGTTTTGTTTAATCGATCCACATTATTTTGACGTTTCACTTTTTTTCAGTGCCATGAAGCTTTAATTTTTTTACAGTAATGAAATATGATTTACTTGAGATATGGATACTGTTTTTATCGATTTAGAGCATTGGATTGAAACACTTCATAAACAAATGTTACAAAGTCGTTGATGAAAATTATCTATTTCCCTTGAGGGGAGAGTGTATACATTGCCTAAAATGTTTTATCATTTTTCATACCCTCGATGATCTCGTGTATCGCAAAGCCAACTATACAGCTGTGAACTTCCAGAAAAAAATACAACTCGGTAATGAAATAAATAATTTGAATGAAGCAGTGTATACACATGTATTTGACACAAAACCAGGGATAATAAAATTCATGAAAAAGAATCATTTTTCTGTGTAAGCAGCATTTATTAGCGCAAAAGAATTAAGTTATCGAAAACCGGTACCAGTCTAAAGATTGTGGCTGCTTTTTTGCTCGCACATGTAAATGAGATAGTTCTGGTGTTGATATATATAATGTTAATATGTCATTTAGATAATATCAATCTAGACGTCAGTTATTGCATTAATTAAATTTAGCTGCAGAACTGTAAGCGTTATGGTTTTATATTGTAGTCTTTTTATGGTCAAAGACTAAAATATAAAACCATAAAGCTACAGTTCTGCAGCTACATTGAGTTGGAATTACATGTACACTGAATATTGCACAATATTTCATCCGAGGAGCACAAGAGGTTGACAATGGTTTTCAATGGGTGAAATTTTCCATGTTACCCTCAACTAAATGCAATATTTGTTTTACTTTAAAATTGAATGTTATACATACAACTATAACAAAATAAAATTGAATCTTGTTCTATACACGCATACGATTTTTTAATGTCATCCGTCGTCGACAAACCAGACTAGAATTTCTACATGAATCTTTATACATGGTTAGACTGTTAAACCTTCTGTTATTTTCGACTGACTCAATACTCGCGAATTTTTGCCGTCGCGAACCAATCACTGCCTGTGACGTGAGGAGAAACAGGATTTACCCGGTTTATTTACAGAAATCCCTATCTTGTTTTTTTTTTTTTTTTTTTAGAAAGAGTCATACTCAGGTTCATTTCTGAGGAAAATTTTCCTCATCATTTGATTAACTCACATAAAAAACATATTTATGGGGGACTAAGCAATAATCATCGTATCAGTGCCACTCAGTGTGGGGTACAGACAAACACACTGTGGCAACATCAACTTCAGAAAAATACTAATTATATTCAGCAAATTCAGCTGTATTTAAAACAAAGATATTGAAAACATATTGAAAACAAAGATATTGAAAGAATGACACATCAATAATTTGACTTAAATGATACATCAATCTAAATTAATCCTTTTTTATTTTTCTTTGAAAAGAATTTATAGACACATGAAATATTCATGTAATACATCCTAGCTGTAACTCCCTGTATGTCAATTTCATACTTGTAAATGTTTAAATTCAAATATTTGGGTAAATTTCTGAGAAAATCCAAATCGTGAAAATATATTATTAAACAGACAAATATCTTTATTTTCGTGAA